AATACAAAAGAGAGAGAGAATGCATAAGCTATTTCAGACTAAGATTAGCCCAACCCGTAGATGAGAGGGAAGTTCTCTATTTATAGTGGGAGATTTCAAGGTAATGATTACAAGTTTGCAAGTGGGTAGGTGTCGTGCAAATCCTTCTTTGCGTTTTATTGGTTATCTGCACGAGAAATATCATCAACTTGCGTAGGGCTTAGACAGGTGGATGATCCCTAACCGCTCGCAAGCCTAGCACTCACCTACTACACTGGCAGGAGCCATGCCCCTTGCGCCACTACATGACGTGGTAATGTCTAAACGACACAAAACCTTCCTGAGCTCTGATTGGCTCTTACTAACGAGAGTCCATGTCAGCTCTAACTTTTTAGGCATAACAACATATTTCATGTCATCACATGTTTACATATATNAATCAGGTCACGTGTAGCGAGCTGAGTTATACTCTAGAGAGAATACAAAAGAGAGAGAGAATGCATAAGCTATTTCAGACTAAGATTAGCCCAACCCGTAGATGAGAGAGAAGTTCTCTATTTATAGTGGGAGATTTTAAGGTAATGATTACAAGTTTGCAAGTGAATAGGTGTCGTGCAAATTCTTCTTTGCGTTTTATTGGTTATCTGCACGAGAAATATCCTCAACTTGCGTAGAGCTTAGACAAGTGGATGATCCCTAACCGCTCGCAAGCCTAACACTCACCTACTACACTGGCAGGAGTCATGCCCCTTGCGTCACTACATGACGTGGTAATGTCTGGACGACACAAAACCTTCCTGAGCTCTGATTGGCTCATACTAATGAGAGTCCACGTCAGCTCTAACTTTTCAGGCATAACAATATCATAAAGTTTTGAAATGAGACAATATATTTCATGTCATCACATGTTTATGGTGCATATTTCTTTTAATACTGGAATGATCATATGATTATAACAAAATTATATTTATATTTCTAGAATTATTAAAACTCTTTTTTAAGATTATCAAAAAACCATATGATATTATAAAAACGGTTAGAAGTTGTATGTGTCTTATATCGCCAATTTGGTGAGTTATTGTACTATATATATGTGTTTGAGCTTCATTCTCCTTTGACCTAATTATTAGGAGTAAGTTTTACCCAAACCTATTTTATCATGATATTTAGGGGTGTTCAAAAAAATACAAAAACCGAACCGAACTTACGGTTCAAGAAATTAAAAAAACCGGATTTTCGGTTCGGGAAAAAATAAAAACCGGTTTACATATATATATATATATATATCAATGGATATATATATGAATATTTAATTTTTATTTGGATATGTATTGTTTATGTTTACAATTTAATTTAGGAAAAAATTAAAAAAAAAAGTTTTATCTAATAAAAAAGGGAAAAACCGGTTAACCCTTTTTTTTTAAAGCGGTTAACCGGTTCGGTTTTGGTTCGAAAATTTTTCCGAACCGAAAAACCGGTTCGGTTCAAAAAAGTGGTTAACCGGTTCGATTAACCGTTTTTGAACACCCCTAATGATATTAGAATCACGTTTGCCCTTTGGATTTGGACCCTGGCCAGGGGTGATTTGGATTTTTTGGATTCGGACCCTAGCCGAGGGTGAGGGAGGGTAAACGATATATATACGTTAGAATTTGTGTGTTTGACAATTTCTCTATTCTTTTGTTGTTCCATAATTTCTGTATTTGAGTATGCATCCTTACAGAATATCTGGTCACTAATCTTTAGGATAGTGCACAATTCCGCACACCTTGACCATTGTTCACTGTTCATCAATCTATTATCAAACAAAAACATATATAATGCTTGTGTTAAAAATTAAACGATCACACACGATTCAGATATATAACAGTAACCCTTTTGGTAATATCGAGACTTCAATTTCCAATCTAACTATTTTATTGAAGTGTAATTTTAATGGAGAGTTTAATTTCATACTTTAAAAAGATTAAATACATGATATCTGTAAGAGAAAACTTTTAATTTATAAGAAATGGAAAAATGCATACTATTGCTAGTCTTTCTTAGTGTTATTATATAAGATATGGGTAATAAATTGATAGAAAAAAAAGCAAAAAATTGGAATGGAATCCATTGAACCTGTCAACCAAAGTCATAACTTTACCAAGTCAAGTCATTGCAATACTTTTTTTTTTTTTGGTCAAGAAGTATATAATTGCATATAATTAAGTCTAGCCATAAGCAGCCTTTCTTTAATAAAAAAAATTATCTATTTTATAGTATCTAGTTCTAATAGAAAAATAATTTTAATATTTGGTTTTATAGAAAATAATTATTAAAAAAAAAATCTTTTCACATTTGACCTCCTATTGTGGTCAGATGAAAAGCTTTTTAACCATATAGGTTAATTATATTCACCACTCTCGTGGTCAAGTCACAATAGAGACACTTATCACATACGTGCAATTACTTTGGTGAGAGTTTGTTTGACAATTGTATCTGGATACCTCAGTTACTAAAAAAAATAATAATAAAAATAAATTTGATGGAATTACTTTTAAAATGGGGTTTTATTAATTCCTACATGTCTTATAATATTTGATAAATTCATCAAAAACAGTATTTTTGTTAATTTTGTTAAAATCAATGTCAAATGCGGACGTTCTAAAGTTTTTAACTTGTAAAGTAACTAGTCAATTTATGACTTTACATACATCTCTTTTCGTTAAAAACTTCAAAACGAAGATTACTGAGAATTTTCTTGTACAACATTCATATCTTATAATGACATAATTCTAGTCACATTAACACATTGGACAACATTATTATTATTATTATAAGGTTGAAAATAAATAAAAGTATTACGTTCAAGTACCTAGACTTGATTTTCAGACCATATAATAGAAAAAGCCATTTGTAATAAACACCCAATCTATTAGTGGAAACACTATTCATATTTGGGTAGAATGGAAAGGTTGAAAGTTCAGAGAGTGGGGCCTTTTAATTCTTCTCCACCATGCCTCAATATTTATTTCTTGCTTTCATTAGGCATGGACCGACCATTGTTGCTTCATTCATAGCACATGCTTCACGAGCTTATCAGGTATCTGATTCACAACTGAACTTCTTAAATATGGTAGTTTTTCAACAGTGGTAAGAGTATAATCTGCAGAATGTTAGGTGGTATAGTGGGTTTCTCCATCGTGGGCTCTTTCGATACTTCAAAAGTCAGATTTTGTGACAAAGATGGGTGAATAATGAAAGGGGTAATACTGCTAAATGATGCGGTAGGTTGTTATAAGGGTGTCGGCCATGTTTTTTGGTGGCATGAATCCCTCAACAATGGTGGGGAAAGACTTGAGGATGATGGGCCGTCTGACGGTTCCATGCACAAGAATGGAGTCTGCCAATCCACACCATCAAAACACCACTTATATGCCCATTGCGTTCATTTGGAAGCGCCTCAGGCAAACGAACTGCATCCCAACGGTAGTAGCATTGAGCAATGCTGCCCGTGGGACGGTTTGGCTAGTGTAACAAATCTCACATCAAAAGCGTATTGGAAAAGTTTTGGGCTTATAAAGGGAGAAGTTCCTCTACCTAATAAGCTAGCATTTTGAGTGTGAAATTTCTAACCCATGACAGGTGGTATATGTGGTTGTGAGTCCACACTGAGAGTGAGGTGGATGGATAGGCAGAGGACCCCACCTGTGACTCCCTCATCACAGGATTGGGTGGGGGAGATGTAACGAATCTCTCATTAGAAGCGTATGGTGGACGGGTAGGTAGGGGACCCCACTTGTGACAAAGCATCACAGGATTGGATGAAGGAGAATATTACAAATCTCACATCAGAAACATATTGGAGAGGTCTTGAGCTTATAAAATGAGAAATCCCTCTACCTAATAGGTTAGGCCTTTTGTATTTGAAACTTCCCGCTTGTGACACTAGGCCGCATGGGCCTAATACCATGCCTAAGCCAGCAGCTTAATTTGACTCTATTACATAATTTTCATCTCAATGATATATCTTGATGGGACGATGAAGCATAGATTGACAAATGCTCTTAACATTTTCATGAACATATTCCAGGATATTAGCAAAATATTTGTATGGGAAGTAGGAGAAATGTAATACTCAATATATGTTTACAATGCTGGAAGATTGGAGATACAGAGCAAAATCCAAAATACTAAAGTCTTCAATATGGACAACCAGAAAAGCAAAGGCCTTTCTAAATTAAGTCCAGTAGCCAAACCCTGGGCTAATACGTCCTGCCACTAGATGTGTTCAAAAAAATACAAAAACCAAACCGAATCGATAACCGAACCAAAAAAACGGTTGGATAACAGTTCAAAAAATTCAAAAACCGGATTTTCGATTAGGTTACCGGTTTGGAAAAAAATAAAAAATGGTTAACCGAAACCGGTTTTATATATATATATATATATATATTAAATAAAAATAAAAATATATATTATTTATTAAATAAAAAAATAATTTCATTTCGGACTTTTATTTGTATCAATTTTTAATGTATTGTTAGTCGTGGTCAATGGATATGTATGAATGTTTAATTTTTATTTTGATATGTATTGTTTATATTTACAATTTAATTTAAGAAAAAATTAAAAAAAATAAGTTTTATAAAAAAAAAATAGGGAAAACCGGTTCAAAACCGGTTAACGCTTTTTTTAAAGTGATTAACCAGTTTTTCGATTAACCGGAAAACTGGTTTTCCCTCCAAACTGATTTGGTTTTGGTTCGGGAATTTTTCTGAACCGGAAAACCAGTTCGGTTCAAAAAAAGCGGTTAACCGGTTCGGTCAACCACTTTTAAACACCCCTACCCGCCACATTACTCTCATGAAAACTACTGGCCACAGAGCAGCAAAAATTTGAGAATACTGATATCTAATTAGTTATCTCATGGTAGCTGTGGGATTTAACCAGAAACAAATTAATAGGTTAGAGAAGGCATTACAGTTTGGATAAGTTCACTTGTTTTATTAACATACATACACAGAAATCCCTTGATTTGATTTGATCTTTGAATACATATTTGCTTCTTACAATTATGTTAACGATCTGATTACATAGAAGCTTTACAGCAACAATAGAAATAACAGAGAAGCAGAAGCAGTGGTAGTAGTCCACGAATTGGGAGCTTGCATCAGTTCAAAACAAGAAATATACAGATGATCGATGTATTTTCCCAGAACAGATTTTCAGGAAGGAATATTTTAACACAAAAAAGCGTGAAAGAAATTCAATTCTGAATGCACTTGTTTGATTTTCTTGAATTAAGCCAAGCCAGCCTGCCTTTCCCATCCAAGATCTGCAGAAAACTCTGACAGTGCAGCCCGGGGATCACCATTGGAAATAGACAAGTAATATAGAGCAGTTCCATCGTCAACTTGCATGCTTCTCCTCAAAGAGTCGATTATCCTTCTCTTGCCCTGTTCAGAAGTCACCCTTTTCAACAAACAATTTGGCTTTCTGTCAGGCTCACCATCTAGATATAGCACTGCTACTTCCCTTTTTGCATATGAATCCAACTCTATGTAGCATGTTCCATCTACAAGAATGTCTGGATTGCTTACAGGGATTAATAACCTCTCCCTTGAATATATCCCATGATCACTCATCATGTTATTTAGCCGTTTAATGTCCATAACCTGTAGATGCAAGCACCAAATTATGTTTCAAATGTTGAACCTTTGAAGTTTGAAATTGTACCAACAACAGGAAACAGAAAACGTCATCATAGAAAGTATGTATGATTCAGTAATATATTCGTCAAAAACCATCAACAAGAAATGATAAGAACGTTTCCAACTGACCTAAGAAATTCTATTTTCAAGGATAAATTAATTAGAAGGGGCTGGTTTCCAGCTTTTATCTTTATTTGTATTTCCCCTTCACACTACACAGTCAGCAGGTTACCGTCCACCTAGCACCAATTCACTTTAATCCCTCCCACCCCTTTGTACAAGCTAGAAGCAATTGCCTATAAAACCAGCAAGGCCAATGATGAATAGACCAACACTAATTACACAGATCCACCAAACAATAATTCTTATCTCTGGCTGTCTAACACTTTTGTCCAATGTAATCTGTGTCACCCATTTTTCGCTTCTAATCACTCAAAATCCTAACAAACTTGGGTTCAAAAATTCATATATAAATATCTTACCATCATCAAGACAAAATCATTTCTTCCCATCCTCAACCCCAAAGCCTAAAAACCAAATGTTAAACAATGACTTTCAACATTGGACATCCCCAAAACAACATATTGAAGCAATTCTCTATATAACAATATGCATTTCAATGCATGATTTAAAGTTAGATTTTCACAAAAGAATCCTCACCAAGTGTCTTGCTCAACATTTGTACTTAGAAAACACTATAAGAGGATCACTGCAGTACCAATTCAGTATCAATAACCAAAGCCGTTCACATTCTCATGTTAGCACTTAAATTCTTAAACAAATTTCATATCCAACATAACCAATATGACATTGCATCCTATTCTCAAATCCCGCTGTTCCCATAACCATCCTTGTACAACAAACTCCAAGCTAATATGAACTTAACAAATAATACTACACATAGAACTTTAACACCAAGTTAATATAACCACACTGAATAACACTTCTCAATTCTCATACAAACTCTTAATACAACCAAAGCCAATCCATACAAATTTATATTCCTTAGAGAACTCATTCAGCATGGTGCCTTTGAGATAGTGAAAACAATGCTCTTAACATGAGTAAAGTGTCATAAACCTAATGCTTAGCCACTACTCAAAATTTTTGAGTGGTATGACAGATTCAACTCATTTCTATTCCACATGAAATCGTAGTACGCCCAAGATTCAACTCATCTCTATTTTACAAGCAAATTGCAACATACGGCAGAAATTAACCCAGAAAGATAAAAATAATAAAAAAATAATCATAAACAAATATAGATAACACAACACTATCATATCAGTATACACAAAAAATTGAAATTTATAACTGTAGAATTACTAAATTACTTGCACAGATACGGAAACAATACCTGAACGGAGTACTTAACAGCAAGGCTAGCGACGGTGTCCCCACGCGCTATACGGTGGGAAATTGCGAACTTCCCAATCCCGTTATCTCTCCAAAAGCAGGCGTTCACGGGCTTTCCCACAATTTGTTTTAGTTTCCAAGGCTCCATGAAAGCCAACACCAACATGTTGTTATCTGAGGCAACCGAGTACCATACCCTGCACACGCAGCTGGCGCGTGCCAAGTCCAGGACGGTGAGTTTCTGCAGGATTAAACGCAGCGTATCGCGGCAGGCCAGAGCCCCGAAGTGGGAGTTCATTGGGGAGATTACGGTTGATGGGTCAGTGGAGATTGCGGAGGAGGATGATGAGATATGTCCGTTTTGGTTTTGGAGGAGTTGTGGATCGTCATCATCGTTTTCTTCGCCACAACAGCCCATTTTTAGAGAGTGGGTTTGTTCGCTTGGTGCTTGAGAATTCCTTTTATTGAACTTTGGCCTTGGAATGGTAGGTGGAAAATTGGAAATAGAGAAATAGTTATCGCCTGTTTTATAATTTATAATATTTTACAATTATTTTGTTGTTATTATAATTTCAATGTAAAAAATTACCCAAAGCGACAAAATAGGGCGATAGAAAACTCTTGGACATATTCCTCGATTGTCGTTAACTTCAGAATCCTAAATAATTAGTCGAGGTACATGCAAACTGGCCTGAAATCCTCCGGTTACTTGCGAGCATGAACATAATGTCTACTTGATTAGGCTTATACTTGAATTTTGAGTTTTGACAATGGGTTATACATCAAATCAACCAACAAAGAGATGAAAAATGATCCTTTTCTTCCCATTTCAGGCTACTATAAACTTGGTAAGACCAAATAATGATGGTGCTATAATTTCCGAAATGGAGTACAGCAAAGGTATGGTAATGATATATAAATCAGCCTTGCATCACTTGTAATACTAAAATTAGAATACAAATTCTGGGAAGTGTTACAAAATTTAAACACTCTCAGGGGAAGGAGGCTTCAATAAGAAAAACACTACAAAATAACAGCATTACAAACTCTCTTCAACAATCAAAGGAAACAATAGAGATATCAAGAAAGCAGGAAAAAAAAAAAAAAAAAAAAAGCAGCATTTCTGGAATAGGCATGAAATATTTGATGTAACCTGGGCACCAGTGTTGAGTAGTTAGCAGCTTGCTCACTGATAAAGATGAAATAAGATCAATGACCCCATGCATTGCCAAGGCCATATGCATCCATATAGCCTGCTGCATGACCATGATCATGACCACCATGGTGGTGGTCGTGGCTGCCATGACCATGAAGATGGTCATGATCATGGTCACCACTTTTTGCTTCATCAAACATCTTCTGAATATGCTCGGGTATAGGCTCTTCCTTGGCTTGTCTAACAGATTTCGGTAAAGAGGACACAAACTCTGCAATACTCTCTGCTAGTTCGTAGGCATTGTCTTCCTGAAATTAATGTAACAAGGAACATAGTAAACTTCACGATGTGAAAGATACTTGCAAGTGATTTTGTTAATAACTTGTTTATTATCAGAAGTTCATGTATATAGCATCAATTCAAGTAATTTTCCAGAAAAAAGAAAAAAGAAAAAAAATAAGAAACCACCCAACCCTGCTTCAAAAAAATGCATAACAGAGTAATGCCAGGCACACAGAAATTAGCTAAGTGAACGGGCTCATTGCAAATTGGCTGAGTTGTGTCGATTTCAATGCATACATATTGTTGACCTTAGGAAGACAGAGAATATGAATATATGATAAATGCTCTCAAAATCTTCCTTTGAATAAATTACTTGCTAATCATAAAATTCTTTTCCTGCACCCACATTCTTATTACAAAATCTATTGACTGACATATAAAACCATTAAAAATCTGGGCTTTGGCAATGTTAAAGATAAAACACACAAACGTGTACACCCAAGTAGTGATGAGGTCACTATTAGTTTAAACAGCACAAGTGGTGTTGATAACAACAGCACTGGGTTATTTTGGAAAGAAAGGCATAAAAAACACACTGGTCAAGGTTGCAGCCCACAGGACATGAAGTGAACGATTGCTCCTTGATCATGAAGGGTGGGTTATCTAGAAATAGAAGACCATGAAAAACACACTGGTCAGGGTTGCAGCCCACCGGGCATGAAGTGAATGATTGGCAGCATTGGCTCCCTGATCATGTGTTTATTTCTAAAAGCACTCATCGGACAAAAAATCATGTTACAAAGGGACAAGCTGAATGATGATTGACAAAGTACATTAAAATCTGCCAACAGCTCACAAGGCATGCTTTAATAATTATATGAGGATTGAGAACACATATTCAACCTCATTTGACTAAATGCCAGTTCATAACCTAATCTTTAAGTGATGAAACTTTTCTAACAGTACGTCATTCTTCACCAGTCATTTCCAAGCAGCCCACTAGCTCACTCATATGGCCCATATAAGTCGTGCCAATGAATTTCCACAGTCCGTTTACTATCAGAAGTTCGTTGCACTAACCAAAAAGATCTCTACCTAATATACACAAGCTAAATGATATTTGTGCAGGTTGCATCTCAGTTAAGACCTTGCATCAATCCTCATTCATAAAACAAATCGAAATTGTCAAACCAATTGCAGTCATCAATAATCACAAAATCAAGGACCTAAACAAAGTAATCTGAAACACAGCCAACATAAGAAACTTCTACTCTCATAAATCATAATATAAACTAGAAAAAAAATTAATAAATTTAGAATCCAAGGAATCCGCACCTGAGGCCACCGTCCACCTGAATGCTTCACAAACTTTGCTTGCGGAAGTGCATCTGCGACTCGACTCCCTTCTTCACTCCACAATTTAGACCAACCACTAGACCAAAGCACCTGCATTGGCATTACTTTTATCCCATCCGAACCACCCCATTCTCCTATATCAAAGCTATAATTCAAATTCTTCCCCATCCCCACAACAGCTCTAAACCCATCTCTTCCCTTCAAAAGCAATCTATGAGCCTCAACATCAAAACCACCAATCTTATTCATACAACACAACCTAATCAACCTCTCATACGCAAACGAAAACCCTAACAAAACCTCCCTAATCAATGGCAAATTGAAAGCCAACATAGGCAAAGCCGGTCTTGATCCGGTATCCATAAGAGTCACACTTTTAACTAAATCTACATTCTCAGCCACCCAATTTGCACTCATTAAAAGAGCTGAATCATGCAAAACTAAATGCACAGGAGCCAAATTAAAAGTCTCAATCACTTGTCCTAAAACCCTGCCTAACTCTTCACTGCCCAACTCAATAACCCTAACCCTCTCTCTCCCCAAATCCCTAGCTTTCATAATTTCCTCATAAGGGATCTGCCCAGTTTCAACAATATGATCAAACGCCCAAAACACACCCTTTTCTTTAATCAGCGCAAAAGCATCCCATAACTTCTCAAAAGCCCCATTCGAACTCTCTTTAATCTCCATCGTTGATCGATCAGAAAACCCATTTCCAGGCAAATCAAAGGCCATAACACGAACCCCTTTAGACCCCAAAGAGCTTATCATCTCACGAAAAGAAAACGAGCTCAAACCAACCCCGTGAACGATCAAAACATTCTCCGTCGAAACGGCGTCATTTTGAAAAGTAAAAACCTCAATTGGAGATTGATTAGGGCTGGGCTGGACCTTGATAACGCGACCAGAAGAGTAGTGCTGGCGAAGAGAGTCGCGTAAACCGAGAAACCAAGACCTGGGGTCTGGATTAGAGGAGAGAGAAGACAATGAAACGAAGAAGAGAGTTATGAGAGAGACTGAGAGAGTGAAGTAAAACCAGAGCGTAAATGGGTTCGTGTTATGCTGAGGTTTCGTTGAGTTTGAACTGGGGTTTTGATTTTGTTTTTGTTTTTGTTTTTGCTTTCGTTTTTCTTCTTGTTGCTGATGTTGGGGTTGGGGTTGGGGTTCTTGTTGTTCTGGCTCCTCTGTTATGATCGCCATTGAAAGAAGTGAGAAGTTTTTTTTGTTGAAGCTCAAGCTGAAACTGAAAGATCTATTGGAGACTCTGCTCAAGAGTCTAGAAGAGGAAAGGTGACCGTTGTTTAATGTATAAATACGACGACGTCAAGGAGGGGAGGAAGAGACTGGGGTGGGCGGGGGGTGTTTACTAAAACGACGTCGTAATTGAATGGATAATTCATAAACTTTTGGGGCCGTTTGGTTCAGGGAATGTTGGATTACTGGAAAGTTAGATTACCTTGAATATTACTGAGAGCCTTTAAGAAAATGTGTTTTGTTAATTGATGGGTATGTTATATTAATATATTTGGTTTGAAGGAATAAATTGGTGGGTATGTTATATAAATTATTGAATTGTCCTCTAATTAAATATTATTATTATATAATTTTTTAAAATTAATTATTATTTGGATTACTGTAACCCTCCTGCATTTAAAAACTTAGCAAAAACAACCCTATAATAAAAGTTTGAAAAATCAATAAAGCACCCGCACCAACCCAACTATTGCCGGCAACCACCGTAGGCCGTCGACAGTCGGCAACCTAATGGTGCACGAAAGGCAAGAAATGGCCTTCGTGCGCCATATGGCCATTTCCAGCGAGAGATCTGGCCGAAAATGGCCAGACGTGATAGATCTGGCCGTTAACAGCCAGATCGATGGCTGTTGACAACCAAAGTCGTGGCCGTTGATGGCCATATTAGATTTGGCCGAAAATGGCCATATCGGTGCACGACAACCATTTTTGGCCTTCTGTGCACCTTTTCGGTGGCGACAGCAAGTGGGTGGGGGTGGTGGCTTAGGTGGGTTGCAATTTGTTTTGAATTTAAGGGTAATTTTATCCAAAAAGTGAATTAATTGGGGTGACATAGTAAAAGCTATATTCATGTAAATAAATTAAAAAATAAGGGCATTATTGTCCTAAAATTTTATTAATAAGGGATAGAATTGTAATAAAAAAAGATAACACTGATAATCTTAGAATACCTAAGAAAATAGAGGTAATCAGATTACCTCCAATATTACCAATAGTAACCACTATTGATATTTGAAGATTACCGATATCTTATATTACTTGACAACCAAATATGGTAATAAAGTAATATAAGATGACTTAACCCCATTAATCTCCAATAACCCCCAACCAAAGGCCCTTTGGATAATGTCATAGACTATGCTTAAGGTTTGTAGATTCATTTCTAGCATAACAACTTTCACAATTTTTTAATGGACCCTCAAAGTTTGAAAAATATATCACTAATACCCATTAGGCATTAGCCTTTTCAAATAGACTATCAAGGTTTAAATTTTTTATCACATATATCCCTTTAGGGCCTTTACCCTAACTCTGTTACATTACCATTAGGTTTACTAGACACTTCCTTATAAGACCAAAATTATAATTTTACACCAACCCTCTCTTATAAAACTAAAGTGTTTTATAAAGTTACCATTTCAGCTATCAACACAAATAGCAAGTATGGGTGTTCAAAAGCGGTTAATCGAACCAGTTAACCGCTTTCTTGAACCGAAATGGTTTTTCGGTTCAGGAATTGTCCTAAACCAAAACCGAACCGAACCGATTTGGAGGGAAAATCAGTTTTTTGGTTAACTACTTTAAAAAAATCAGTTAACCGGTTTTCCTCTTTTTATTGGATAAAACTTAGTTTTTTTTTTAAATTTTTTTTAAAATTAAATTATAAAAATCAACAATACATATCCAAATAAAAATTAAACATTCATACATATCCATTAACCACAACTAACAATACATTAAAAATTGATACAAATAAAAGTCCGAAATTAAACAAAATTAAAAGTTCATAACGAAACGTCCATAATAAAATAACTAAATAAGTCTCGAAAACAACAAAAGAAATTGTGCAAATTTAAAGATTAAGATTTTAATATATATATATAACCGGTTTTCATTTTTACTCGAACCTAAAATCCAGTTTTTTGAATTTTTTGAACCGTAACCAAATCATTTTTTTGGTTAATCGGTTTTTTAGTTCGGTTCGGTTTTTGCATTTCTTTGAACATCCCTAATAGCAAGGGTGAAAGAGTATCCACGTTATAGTTTTCAAACCTTTAGGGTTCAATTAAAGGTATTAAAAATTGTTATCTCATATTCTCCCTAAACTTTTTGGCGGACTCAAATACCCCCAGAGTATTGATACTTTCCAATCAACCCCATCTATTTTCCAGTTTTATCTCCTCTTGAAACTGAACTGAAACTCGACACTTTTCATCATTCAACAAAACCTTATCTTTCAGACTTTCACTGCTCTCTCTCTCTCTCTCTCTCTCTCTCTCTCTCTCTGCAGAATCGCCACCATGCACTCACTATCATCACAGGCGATGCGCCCTCTTTCTCTCTCGCCATCCTTCACTCACTCGTCTTGTCAATTTCGCTTCCTCTCTTCTCTCTCACTCCCTGTTTTCCATAAATTTCAAACCCGCCCCTCATTTTACAAAATTTATCCAAAAGCTCCTCTTTTTGTCAGAAACTGCACTTCCATATCCGCCAAACCCTCTTCCGAGTTCCGCAAGGACCGGACCCAAGAGCCACCGGATGAGAAGCTCCGCGCGCTTCGCGAGCTGTTTACCAAGCCTGGAGTTAACATTGATGCGTATATCATACCTTCTCAGGACGCTCACCAGGTTCAAATCATCGTTTCTAATTTGTTGTTGATGTGTTTCTGTGGTTTTGTGTGTTGATTGCTGTGAAAGATTTTGTGTTAAGAATTTCTGTTGTTTTTAGTTGATTTCGGATGCTTGGCGGACGGTAGAACTCAATTGGGTTTTGGCTGTTTTCTGCAATTGCTTTGAAAAATTTTAGCTTTATTGTTTTTGCCTTTTGGTAAATTTGGGTGGTTGGTTTTTAACAACATCTATGAGTGGTTGCATATTATGTTTTTGTGGATAATGAGCTATTCGAGGTCTTTGAACTATTTAATGTTCAATTTCCAGATACTTTAGTAGAGCTATGATGTATTGTTGTTAAATTTGAACTGAGATTCTTTTGTTTCGAAATTTTGTTTTTTTTAGTGAAGTTAATAGGGAAGTTTATCCAAGAGATTAATGATTGTCTTAGTAAAATATTTGTAACATGTATCTTCAGTTGAATTTCTAGATTGTTAGATTACTGCATGAGTATTGAAAATGAAACCGGGATGCCTATTTGGGCTACGACTTCTCTGGTATAGAACTTGGATAAATGGAATTTCCATTGTTTTCTGTATTTAAGCGTTAATGTTCTCTCCATTTTGGTTTCCAGAGTGAGTTCATTGCTGAATGTTATATGAGGAGGACTTTTATATCTGGATTTACTGGTAGTGCTGGCACTGCTATTGTCACAAAGGATAAAGCAGCTCTATGGACAGATGGTCGTTACTTTCTCCAGGTTTGGAAGGAAGACACCTTAAAATCTTTTTGCTTTGCTAGATTTGGTGCCTTGTGCATAGTCACAGTATTTGTTATGCTAACTCTTTTTGCTGGTTGTTCTCTATAACAACAAGACTATCTGCATTTTACTTAACTAGTTTGAGAAGGTGTTCTTGCTAATTATTTATTTTGTTATAATTAGGCTGAGAAGCAGCTGAACCCTAGTTGGATTCTTATGCGAAGTGGTAACCTTGGAATCCCTACTATCAGTGAATGGCTAAACAGTGTTTTGGTGCCTGGAGGCAGAGTTGGCATTGATCCGGTGAGCAATTTCTCAACCTCCTAAATGGGTGTATTGCATGTTTTGTTAGTGCAGCTCATCATCTTTAAGGTTTTTTTTTTTTTTTTGGCTGCTGCTTTTTACTGGCTTTCATCTTAAGATGCCAATATTCATTCTCTCATTTTTTTTTTTTCCCCCCTTTCCGATAAGAAACTGCAACTTTTCTGTATAGAAAAAGTGATTTACATGAAAGAGAACAAGCTTTCCACACAAAAATCAGGGAATAGAAGGAACAATAAAGCCAGAATGTTTCTAATATATTGAACAATTTTAGGAGCATAGGTTCATAAATCATCTGTCTTATGCTTCGTTTGTAACTTGCATTTTATATTGGTATATTTAATTAATAAATTATGTTCATTTTTTCGCTTCTTATGTTCAAGTATCAAATTTCTGTGCTCCTGTATATATTCTGTTTATTCTGGTACGTACTTGCATGTGTCTGATGCCCCCTTTTCTTGATAATGTGAAGGGAGCAGTTTCTATTTTCTTCTGCTGCTGCAGAGGAATTGAAGGAGGCTATAGGGCAGAAGAATCATGAGTTAGTTTACTTGTACGATTTTAATCTTGTGGATGCTATATGGAAGGAATCAAGGCCAAAGCCTCCGAACAAACCTATTAGAGTACATGACCTGAAATATGCTGGATTAGATGTGGCATCAAAACTATCTTCCCTGCGGTCTGAACTTGTTGATGCTGGTTCGTCTGCCATTATAATATCAATGCTTGATGAAATCGCCTGGCTGCTAAATTTGGTACAATTTCAATCTGCTCTATTAAACTTGTTCTGTTATATTTTATATATATAGAAGCAGTGCCTATAAACAAATTCTATTTCAAAATCTGTTGGAGTGCTGGTACTTAGAATCAATATAGCATAGTGGCACCATCTGTCTAACATCCTTAAATCTAGTTCAAGCTTATATGGTAGCAGAGCAATATTTTTTTCTTTTACTAAATCATGCAATAATGTTTTCCGCTGTTCAATGAAATCACACTACAAATTTTTTGTTGCAGAGAGGAAGTGATGTTCCACATTCCCCTGTTATGTATGCCTACTTAATTGTGGAAACGGCCAAAGCAAAATTATTTATAGATGATTCTAAAGTTACCACAGACGTGATGAATTACTTGAAGAATGCCGGTGTAGAGTTGAGGCCATATGATTCCATCCTTTCTGAAATAAAAAGGTAGGTTTAGGGGTTCAGATGTCTGATTTGACATTTATTTGTGTGCTTTTATGTAGTTTTGCATTTTAGATCACACATTATGACAAAATTTACACCTGTTTNCCCCTTTCCGATAAGAAACTGCAACTTTTTTGTATAGAAAAAGTGATTTACATGAAAGAGAACAAGCTTTCCACACAAAAATCAGGGAATAGAAGGAACAATAAAGCCAGAATATTTCTAATATATTGAACAATTTTAGGAGCATAGTTTCATAAATCATCTGTCTTATGCTTGCTTTGTAACTTGCATTTTATATTGGTATATTTAATTAATAAATTATGTTCATTTTTTTGCTTCTTATGTTCAAGTATCAAATTTCTGTGCACCTGTATATATTCTGTTTATTCTGGTACGTACTTGCATGTGTCTGATGCCCCCTTTTCTTGATAATGTGAAGGGAGCAGTTTCTATTTTCTTCTGCTGCTGCAGAGGAATTGAAGGAGGCTATAGGGCAGAAGAATCATGAGTTAGTTTACTTGTACGATTTTAATCTTGTGGATGCTATATGGAAGGAATCAAGGCCAAAGCCTCCGAACAAACCTATTAGAGTACATGACCTGAAATATGCTGGATTAGATGTGGCATCAAAACTATCTTCCCTGCGGTCTGAACTTGTTGATGCTGGTTCGTCTGCCATTATAATATCAATGCTTGATGAAATCGCCTGGCTGCTAAATTTGGTACAATTTCAATCTGCTCTATTAAACTTGTTCTGTTATATTTTATATATATAGAAGCAGTGCCTATAAACAAATTCTATTTCAAAATCTGTTGGAGTGCTGGTACTTAGAATCAATATAGCATAGTGGCACCATCTGTCTAACATCCTTAAATCTAGTTCAAGCTTATATGGTAGCAGAGCAATATTTTTTTCTTTTACTAAATCATGCAATAATGTTTTCTGCTGTTCAAGGGAATCACACTACAAATTTTTTGTTGCAGAGAGGAAGTGATGTTCCACATTCCCCTGTTATGTATGCCTACTTAATTGTGGAAACGGCCAAAGCAAAATTATTTATAGATGATTCTAAAGTTACCACAGACGTGATGAATCACTTGAAGAATGCCGGTGTAGAGTTGAGGCCATATGATTCCATCCTTTCTGAAATAAAAAGGTAGGTTTAGGGGTTCAGATGTCTGATTTGACATTTATTTGTGTGCTTTTATGTAGTTTTGCATTTTAGATCACACATTATGACAAAATTTACACCTGTTTCTGTAGTAGGTTTAGATGGTTGTTAATTGCATTAATAAAAATTTGTCGAACTTTATAGCTGCTAATGCAATGTTAATTTTCAGATGTTTACTGTGTGAAAATTGCTGCCAATAAAAGCTGCATCTTTGTCTAGCCTGCCAATTTTCATTTTCCCCCTTTCTTTTAGCTTAATATTCAGTCATGTAATCATGTCATAATGCAAGTGGTATATGGCTTTTTTTACCAGTTTGGCAGCTCAAGGTGCTCGACTTTGGTTGGATCCTTCCTCTGTTAATGCTGCTATTATGAACACCTATAAGATTGCCAATGAAAGATATCTTGAAAGTATTGAGAATAAGAAGAAGAGTAAGACTAAGATGTATGGTGACACCAATGGTCAGTCTGGAGGACCCACTGGGGTTTTGAAGACATCTCCTGTCGCTGTTGCAAAGGCATTGAAAAATTCTGCTGAGTTAGAAGGAATGCGAAACTCTCATTTAAGGTAAGCGATTCTTCCTGTGGAAGGTACTGACGTTCCGAATTTGAGGGTAAAGACAATTTTGCATCATGATAGTGATTATTTCTATTGCCTTTCAGTTCTTTTTTCCTGGTAATCTATCATATATTTGAGCAGATTCTATATAACACAAAGTTTTTGATACTGGACAATGACTAAATTACATTTTCATGTGATCTTTCACTTACCTTTTTAATTGACCTCTATCATTTGTCCTCCATCAAATTTTTACTCTGTTGAATAAATATGGACTCTCTTGGTGTGTGATTGAATAAGTACTTTTGTGGAATTTTTTTCTAAGAATAATATCTTGTGACATTCTTTGAGTAAAAGTCATGAAAAGTAGCTTGTGAGCAAGAGCAGGATGAGAGGCAGTACCTGCGAACATTCATATCATATCTTCTTGAGGATGTAACTCATTATTTAGGTTAAAAAATAAAAAAATAAAATAAAATTCTACTGTAATTGTTTGTGACAAAGATAGAATAGCTAAACAATTTTAAGAAATATTTTAATCATAATGTTTCCTTTGCAGGGATGCTGCTGCGTTGGCACAGTTTTGGGTCTGGCTGGAAGAAGAACTTCATAATGGTGTGAAACTAACAGAGGTAGATGTTGCAGACAAACTTCTTGAATTCCGTTCAAAGCAGGCTGGTTTTATAGATACTAGCTTCGATACCATAAGTGGTATATTCACTTTTGCATTCTTGATTACCTATCTTCTACCCCTGGTTATTTCAGTTTTAATTATATTTTCACTGATTCTTCAGTCACTTTTTCTACTGAAATATGTTGCAGCTTTCTTTTCATCATCCTATTTTCTATTATGATAGAAACTTATCCTTCAACAGCTTCTACCCTCAGATTTTGTTAACAGAAACTTATTATAATATATGTCCTTATCATCTGTTTCCCGATTTCGTTGCTCACAATTAAGATGATCTTACAGGTTCCGGTGCAAATGGTGCTATCATACACTACAAACCAGAAACAGACAATTGTAGTGTTGTGGACTCGAATAAACTTTTCCTATTAGACAGTGGAGCTCAATATGAGGATGGAACAACTGACATAACTAGGACAGTGCACTTTGGCGAACCTACTGCTCGGCAGAAAGAATGCTTCACCCGAGTTTTACAGGTGTCAAGTCTTTCTTTATCTGTCTTAATCTATATTACATGAAGAGGCTTTGTAATAACTCATATATGTTTAGTTTTGAGAGTAGGAATAGGTAATTTTGCATTGTTGATTTCAGATTTATTGCTTTGAACTTTTTTGCCTCTCTAGCATCTCAATGGTGCTCTTTATTTTAAAGAGCATATTTCATATAAATGAAGAGCATCTTCATTAATTTCTAAATATAAAAAACAAATTTTTTATTCAAATCCAATGGACTCTTTAAATTTAATGAAGATGCTCTTTATTTTCAAGAAAGAAACTTGATAGGAGAGAGAATTAATAAATAAAATGCATAGAAACTTGTAGTTTATTAATTTAAATTAGGATAGAGAGTAAAATTTGACTTTCTAGATGTGGAAAGTCAAAACTCACTCTTTAATTTATATTTAAAGGATAAAGAGTCTGTTGGACTCTTGTTTTTATGGATAGACTCTTTATAATAAAAAGTTTGGGTCATATAAAGAGTTCTTTGGAGATGCTCTTATAAGCTAGCATTGTCTTCTCTAATTTTCTACTTACTGGACTACTATCTTTTTGTTGAAATATTTGATGTTTCATATTTGGTATAATCTGACTGTAGAATGCGTGATTGCAGGGTCATATAGCTCTTGATCAGGCAGTATTCCCTGAAAGTACTCCTGGTTTTGTATTGGATCCTTTTGCCCGTTCTTTCCTTTGGAAGATTGGACTTGATTACCGACATGGTATATTTCATGCCTTTTTGTTGCCTATATATGTGGTGGCCTGGTGGGAAACTTTTGCGATCTCACAAGTCCTTGATTGAGAGAAGGTGCTGATTTGTTAATCATATCTACTTCCATGTACTAGGAACTGGACATGGTGTGGGAGCTGCACTGAATGTTCATGAGGGTCCCCAAAGTATTAGCTATAGATATGGAAATATGACTCCCTTAATGGAAGGCATGATTGTCAGCAACGAACCTGGCTATTATGAAGACCATGCCTTTGGCATTCGCATTGAGGTACAACATTCATATTGTATTTATCTCAGCTTCTAATGTTGCCAAATTTTGAGGACATACATACTTGTGATATCTGATTGCTGTACTTGAAATTGATGTTTGTTTTTTATTTTTTTTATCTTTCTTAGGTTAATTCCTTGTTTCATCTCTCTTTTCCTCTCTTCCATGTGTATTTGACATTCTATAATTTCTGATAAATGTTTGATATGTGACATCTTTTTCAGTCGCACTCTTGCATTCTTCTGTATATTTTGTAGTTACGTTAACTTGTCTTGCAGAATCTTCTTTACATTAAAGAGGTCGACACACCCAATCGTTTTGGAGGAACTGCATATCTGGGATTTGAAAAACTCACATTTGTCCCCATACAGGTATTCTACTCATTGCCAATCCTGGTCAAGTTGTTTAGGAAACCACACCAAAATATAATTAAACGAGACTCTTTCTCTGTGCTTATTATTCAGAATATGGAGTTGTTCAATGTCCTGGTTTCTCATGCAGCCTCATTGATTAAATGGAGTTTACACAACATGATGACCATGTGCTCCAAGTCTAGTTCAGCTCTTTTGAGCTGTTAAAATGAATCCGTGGCTGTATGCTAATAGTGTAAGGGGTTGGCTTTCATGCGGACAAACACTAAATGCTAAATTTCGTGCTAGTAATGTCCTACAAAATCGACAGAAACATAATGTAAAACTTAGTTTGATGTAGATAGTGGTGTTAAGGCCAGGGCTAATTGCTTAAAGAGGGTATCGTTTCAATACAATTTTGAGGACCGAAATTTGAGTGGCCTAAGTATTATATTATCTCTAATTTATCTCAGAGCTTCTGCTTTACAATTCAGCCTTTCTTTTGTTGGATAGTTTTTCTCTGGTGCGATATATTTTTCTTTATGCTTTTTTTTTTTTTTCCTGCAGACGAAATTGGTTGATTTATCATTGCTTTCCGTTGCGGAGATTGATTGGCTTAATGATTACCATTCTCAAGTCTGGGAGAAGGTAAGTGCATGTTTGGAAATTTATTAAAGCTGGCTCGACAATTCTGTTTTCGGCACATATATAGGTGCAGCCTGATGTGCCTTCCGCAGCCCTTCCCAAATTAGACAAACTGTTGGACATTTATGAAGTTTTTTAATGCTTTTGGAAGCATGCATTCCTGAATAACCTGAGATCTTGTGCAGACGAGTCGTTAATCTAAGTTTTTTCCAGCATCCTGTTACTTTTATTTATTTATTTCTTTGGTAATATTGGTTTGAAATTTAGTGATGTTGATCATTAACCTTGGTCTATCTAACAGGTTTCACCATTGCTGGATGGTTCCGCTGGACAATGGCTTTGGAACAACACACGGCCACTCTGATTTTCCTTCTGCATCTTTGCTTGTTCACTATAATTCTCAAGTTATGAAGGCATGCCCGATCTCATTTCTTATTTCTACTGTGCTGTAGATATAATTCAACCAGAGTAATGGCAGATTATAGTATGTACAGAACACTGCATTGTTTATTAAACTTGATTCGAAATATTTGTCTGCATTCTATTGTTCCATATTTTTCTTTTTCAGTTTAGAAAACAATAGAAATGCTTCTTAAAGGTTCTAGTTAACAATTATTAGGGTTTATTCAATCTCCTCAGCCATGTAGAGAACTAAAATCAAGATAGCTACGGGTCCATTTGTTTTGTTATTTTGGATAGGAGTTTTGATATTTTTAGAGTTGGGTGAGAATAACGAGGTAGAATTTAAAAATTAACAAAAACACCCCTCTAGGTTTGCTAATTTACTAAATACTCCAATATATAAAAATTTTTGTAAAATGACAAAAACACTCTCACTTACAATCGTCAAATTCTAGCCACCACCGTCGAAATCTAGCATTACGACGCATGATCAATCGGATCTAGCCATTCGTGTGTCGATATAGCCTTTTTTGGCTAGATCCACCACGGATCTAGCTGAAAAAGACTAGATCTACAGTCATTTTTGGTCATTGACGATCAAAGATATGGTCGTCATTGATGGTTAACAACGACCAGCTACGGCCAGATCTTTGGCCGTGGATCTGGTCGGAAAATGATAGATCGACACACTATCGACCAGATCCAGCTGGTAGTAGGGGTGCTCAAAAGCGATTAACCGGTAGTAGGGGTGTTCAAAGAACCGGATTTTCAGTTCGGGAAAATTTCCGAACCAAAACCTAACCGGTTTTAGGGAAAACCGATTTTTCGGTTAATCGGTTTCGGTTTTAGGGAAAACCGGTTAACCGTTTTAAAAAAAGCGATTAACTGGTTTTCCCTTTTTTTTTTGATAAATTTTTTTTTTTATTTTGTCCTAAATTAAATTGTAAATATAGACAATACATTGGGAACTAAGAAAAACATTTTGGATTGGGATTTTAGATTGAGTGAATTAGGGATTTATTTTAGTTTAGGTTATTATTTATTTATTTAATATATATTTGAAAAATCGGTTTTCGGTTAACTGTTTCTAATTTTTCCCTAACCGGTAACTGAACTGAAAATTCGATTTTTTAAATTTTTTGAATCGTAACCAAACCGTTTTTTCGGTTAATCGATTTTTTGGTTCGGTTATCGGTTTGGTTAGCGGTTCGGTTCGATTTTTGCATCTTTTTAAGCACCCCTAGCTGATAGTGTACCATTATACTAGATTCCGACCGCCTTCCGACGGTGATGGTCGAAATCTGACAAATGTGAGTGGGTGAAAGTGTTTTTGTTCATTTTTAAACTTTTTTTCTGAGGGTATTTAGTTAAATTAATAAACTTAAGGGATTTAAAATATGGTTTAATAAAATATAATAATATTATGAGGATAATAAAACAAACAGTTATTTTGAGGATAGGATTGGGAATACGATATAAAATATTGAACCAAACGGATCCATATTATATACAGCGTGGTTTAAGCTTAAGGGCCAAGAGTAAATAAATACTGTATGACTACAATACCTGTTACAACTTACAACAGAAGCGCAATGAGAACTTTTCTCTGACACTCGTAAATCTGGAGTGTATGAGTTACAACAATCGAATCATAAGATTTTATTAGCAACCACATTCCATGGATGAAAACTGAACAGCATATTTCTTCTATCTTCATACTGCAAATACAAACCTATAAGCGCGACATTTTTGTCGGTGTTGAATCTGAAGATGAAAGCTCAGCATACATGTTTGATATTGCTTTTGCATAGTATGCCTTAGCTTGCGGCCTTTTGATCTGGAAAAGATTTCGGGTTAAAACACAGAATTAGTTTTTCGTTTGCCATAACTTTGCTTAGTTTAGGTGTCCAAAGATTATACAAAAGGCATATATGATTTTTATGTATTGGTATGCATTATGGAAGGAACTTACTTTGAATGTTGGAGTGAGAAGGCCATTCTCATCAGAGAACGGTTCCGGCACCAAAGTTACAGCTTTTGCGAATTCAAAACCCCTCAACTAAACCATTGTGAGAAGAGAAAAATGGTAAGCCTTAATTCAACTCGAAGGGTGAAAAGCATACTTGGTTTGAAGAATTTACCTGGCCTTCCTTTCCAACAGCATCCATATCAGCAAGAACGGCTTTTCTCGCTCTTGGATCATTGCACAACTGTTCTAAATTCTCAAACTGCATAAATGTACGCAAATTACCACGATCAATATACATCAGCGGAAAACAAAAAATTCTCTACTATGAATTCTTTGCGACATCAGGACTTAATTAGCTTCCTAAAGTTGAGGTTAGCGAGGTCACTTTGATAGGTTACGGAATGAAAAGTAGTAATAAGAGAAATACAAAAATGACCTTGATTCCTTCAGATGCAGCCCAAGCTTTTAAAACATCAGGATCCACCGCAACAACAGCTACTAAACAAGAGTTAAAGCTATCACCTAAGATAAAATTATGTAGTTAGTATGTAAGTGTAGCTGGACAGTTCGATATACATTATAAGCACCGATTCTGTACCATAGATAAAACACTGTGAAATAAACTTGCACTTTGCATATACATTCTCGACCTTCTCTGGGGCAACATACTCTCCTTGTGCCAACTTGAATATGTTCTTTTTCCTGTCATAAGTTGAATGTAGCCTTATAATGGAGTCCAATAATTCAACACTAAACAACATAAATTTATGTACTTTTGACTGACAAATTTTTGAAGGCCAGCTAACAGAGGAAAGAGTGTCAGATTAACTTGTGCAATGGAAATTACCTATCAATAATCTTAAGACGACCTCCACTTAGCCACAGCCCGATATCTCCTGTATGCAGCCAACCATCTTCGTCCATTACTTCTCTCCTGTTCAATCAAACTGGGCAGTCAGACAGACTAGACAGTTGTAACTTCACTTTAGTATCATTAACAAAAGTTAAAGGTAACTACGTTTGAACTTCATCTTTGTAGTAGCCCAGGAAGACAGTGGAACCCCTGACACAGATTTCGCCACGAGGATAGGGCTCATCTTCAGAAGTGTAATTCATTTCAGGAACATCCACAAGTTTCACTTCTGAAAGAAGAAAAGACAAAACACCGATGATCACACATTAAAATTAACAAGAAACTTGTTCCTTCTGGCATCTCATTATATTTGCCTACGCTACGTTTTATTTAACATAAATTGTTTAATTGCGTTTGGCTTCTTCAGTTTTTGACTTCTTTATTGATGAAAAAACAGAAACTACTTGTACCTATTTACCTATCATTTAAAAGTACACTATACTTATTAACAAAAAAAAATGTCTCTCACACGGATCATTTGAGGGATGACAGAGCCATGGTGTTTAAATTAATAATTACAAGAGCTAAAGTCTTTTCCTTCAGGTGGGTGAGGATTGCGGAATCAAATATATGTATAAACACTTCCAATTCAGTAAGAACCTCACCACATGCGGGATTAGGAGACCCAACATGACCAGATAAGATGTCACCATCATCCATGCAGCTTATGACACAAGAAGTCTCAGTCATACCATATCCTTCAAGTACTTGACAGCCAAAGCACCTGAGAGTTTAATTACGTTTGCAACAAAATATAAAACAGTCATTTTATGTGTTTGTGTGTGTGTGTATGTGTATGTGCCAAGAGAGAAGCAAGGAGAGATAAAGGTGAATTCACCAATTTGAGAATCAACTTACACCTTCAAAAAGTCCATTACATCTGGGGACAAAGGCGAAGCACCTGATCCCATAAAACGGACTCGGCCTCCAAGCTTTTCCTTTATCTTATTAAACACCAATCTGTCCCACATTGATGATGGATTTTGGCCTGAAAAAGTTTTTGTTACATAGTCAATACAAGGAACTGTAAATGTTCAGACATTCAGGGTATGATCAATGATCTAACCTCTTTATTCTAAGCTATTTTTAGGAACTAGATAACGGTGATGGAAGAGCCAACAAGAAGATTCAAATGAAAAATATCAACAAAAATAAAGGCCAAGTTATTTACACACAGACCATTCACTATGGCTTGCTTCTTGGAGTTGAATGCAGCTGTGAATAACTTCTCCTTAAGAGTCCCAGAAGTCTTTACTGCATTTGTGATTCTATGGAAACCACCAGAATTAGACATGATGAGTGACCATAAAATTTGATCTAATGAATAATTATGCAGCAATCAACCATAATCTTACCCAGCATAAATTCGATTATACAACCGAGGAACACTGCAAAATAAGGTTGGTTTAAGGGCAGATAAATCATCCATCAACTTCATATTGTCCTGAAAATAAAAGGGATGAGCATACAAACAAATTTAGGTTATCCTCATATCTATAAAGTTAAAATGCACCAAGCTAATGCACAACATCCTCCCAATTCCAATTCTATTAGTAGTGGCTTTAATGCCGTCAAACACACAAGAATTACCAAAAGAAAAACTATAATCTTTAGTTGAGTCACCTACCCCTTGGTAGAAACCAATAGCAACGCCATAGTACACTGACAGAATCTGGTTAGTTCTCTCATAGATGTGTGCCAAAGGAAGATAAGATATGTAACTGTCGAAATAACACATAATTTTAACAGAGGAAAATCAGAATTCAAATAATAAATAAATAAATAAATAAGGACAAGCAAAACAAAACAAACTCATTTATCATTTAGTTATAATTTGAAAACTGAACCTACATGTCTGATGGATAAAATTTGACCATATAACTGAACCCAGCAACACTCGAAATTAAGTTCCTATGCGTCAAGACAACTCCCTGGCAAAAAGAAAAACAAAAAATATATATATATTTTATGTCCATGGCCATATCATTGAAAGTTAGTTGCAGAAGTAGAGAAACAAAGTTCACAACCTCTTACCTTTGGTGTTCCAGTGGTACCACTAGTGTAGCATATGGTTGCAATATCCTCAGGGTTTG